GAAATGACCACAAGAACATTCAGGCGTATCTGTTTTGTTTATTTGAAATAGATGTGAGTTTAAGCAAGACATATCAGTTCTTAATCGGGTATGTAAAATATTTCCGGTCTTAGAGCCAATTTTGTAGTAGTCTGGGGGTTTGGGCACCCCTAGTCGCTGAAGGATTTCTTTTTTGAAGGATGTTTGAGACAAGGATCTTAATGATTCTGGGAGGTGGTTCCATGTTTTAGCTGTTGATAGAAAGAACGAGGATTGGTAGGATGCGGTGCGGTGTGGTTGGATTGTGTGGTTGCTGTGATTTCGCAAGTCTCTTCCTGTCCTTTGTGAGCGGGTGTCCGGTATGATTGATCGGATATAGCTGGGTGTGTTTTGCATGCGGTTGTTGAGTGTGTGGTATAATGTTATTTTGTGTATCTTTCTTCTTGTTTTTAACTTGTCCCAGCCTAAATCTCTCAACAACTTGTCGGTCGGTGTTCTAAATAAGGTGCCAGTCACAAGACGAGCAGCTCTGTTTTGTAAAACTTCAAGTCTCTGTGCGTCCTGGAGCGTAATATGTCCGTCATAAACAGTGTCGTAAAAGTCAAAATGTGGTCTCGTGTATGTTTTGTAAATTTGATCTAAAATTTCCCTGGGGATGTACGGAGCAATGGAATACAATGGGTTCAGGGTTCTGTTTACCTTTTTGCAAATTTCATTGATATGCTGATGAAATCGTAAGTCTTTTGAAAAGGTCATTCCAAGATGAGCGTGATTTTCGTGGATAGGTATTATATCGTCCCCAAATGTAAGAGCAGGTGGTGTGTTTTGCTGACTGCGTGAAAATGTCTGTTGTATTGTTTTGCTAATGTTGAAAGTTATCGCCCATTCTTCTCCGTATTTTTGTATTTCGTTAAGATCGTTTTGTAATGATGTTTGCGCTACATTCAAATTATGCTTTGTATGGGATGCATAAAGCGATACGTCGTCTGCGAAAAATAAAATGTCGTTTTGTGTCTTAGTAGAGAGGTTATTAAGGTAAATAAGTGCCAAGAGAGGACCCAACACCGAACCCTGTGGGCATCCAGCATTGATAATTTCCGTTTTTGAATAAGTGTCGCCGATCTGGACTCGTTGTCGTCTGTCGGATAGGTATGATTTTAGCCAGTCATAAAGTGAGTCAATGATGCCAAATTCATGTCTACATTTGTACAAAAGTCCCTCGTGCCAAATTTTGTCGAAGTATTTTGAAATATCTAGGTAAATGGCAGTAAAATCGCTTCCTGAGTCCATTGCTTTGTATAAACTATGTGTCAAGTATAATAATTGCTGTTCTGCACTGTGGCCTCGCCGGTACCCACTCTGTTTATCTGTCAAGAGATTATGATGAGAAAGATGTGCATAAATATGTTTGTGAACTACTTTTTCAAAGACCTTGGACAAGGAAGATAGGAGACTTATAGGGCGGTAGTTTGTTGGTTCGGATGGGGAACCTTTGTTTTTAAATATTGGTTTGATATTAGCCTCTTTGAATTTGGAAGGATAAACGCCTAACGCTAGTGATTTGTTATATAGCTTTGACAAAGGAGACGCAATTAAGATAGCGGTTAATTTTAAAAGCTTCACAGGGATGTTGTCTGGGCCAGTGGATTTGTTAGCATCTAGGGAATTTAGAATTTGGAGAACTTCTCTTTCAGATGTTGTAATTTTGCTTAGAGTGGGCACCGGCGTAGTAGCTCTTCTCCGGAGTGCTGTCTGCGAGAGCGTCCCATTGCTGTCAGTTTTAGTTTGTTTGGCGAAGAATTCGTTTAAAAGAGTAGCCTTTGTGTAGTTGTCAGTTAGTATTTCTCCGTCTTTTCCTTCAAATGGTGGGATGGTATCGATCTTCTTGCGTCCTGTTATTTCACGTAACGTCTGGTGATATTTGTAAGGGTCTCGTCTATGAGTTAAAAGCTTACGAACCTGTTTCTCTATATGCTGTCTCTTCATTTCCCTGTTTAATGATGTCACTACGTTCCTTTGATATTTCCAGCGATTCCAGTCGTAATTTGTGTTAGATCGTTTTGCTTGTTTAAAAAGTCTGTCGCGTTTCCTTATATTTTTGCTAAGTTCAGTTGACAGCCAAGGTTTTTGACAGGGTTTAATGTGAATAGTTTTACGAGGGATAGCTTTCTCAGCGGCATCTAGCAAAACATTAATGAATCTTTCGGTCGCCTCGTTTACGTCATGATCTAAATGTCATCCCAGTCAACGTCAATTAATAATCGCGTTAAAAGTTCTGAGTCAAGTTTCGAATAGTCCCAAATAAGCTTGTGTGTGTCATTGCTCATGTTTGATGGGTTTGATGCTTTGATGGATACGGTTACAGGAAAATGATCAAGGTTTGAAAATGATGACATGGTTCCACTGCTTGATATTATTTGTGCGTTATTAGTGAATATCAAGTCTCGAATATTTTGTGTGTTTTCGGTGATTCTAGTAGGTTGGTGGATGATCTGTTCTAGGTCAAGAGTTTCGGCAGTACGGTACAGTTGATGGTCAAAAGGAGATAAACCGCTATGCGTGTACTGTGTGTCGTGGTTAAGGTAAATGTTCCCTGCATTAAAGTCACCTAAAATTAAAATAGCAGTCGGTGAGTGACACTGCGCGAGGCAAACGCTCTCCGTCAAGTGTTCGAGAAAGTTATTCAGTCTGTCAGCTGTTTGATTTGGGGGTAAGTAGAGGCAGCAAATTATCAGTGTGATGTTGGATATTTTTACTTTTGCCCATATCCACTCTTCGTGTCCAAGTTCGAGTTCGTTTAATCGTTTGATTGGCAGGGAAGCATGGCAGTACAGAGCGACTCCTCCACCCTTCCTAGTCCTGTGACGTGTAAAAGGAGAGTGATATCCATTTAAGTAATACATCGAGCTAGGAATGCTGTCGTCAAGCTTGGTCTCTGTTAAGGCGCAAACTGTGATGTCATTTATGCTAAGAAACTGAGACAACTCATCCCTCCTGTCTGTGGCGGTGATGCTATTTATGTTGATGTGGGATATATTTACCTACCTAGCACCCAGTAACTGGAGAACCTCAGAATGGCCCTAGCATAAAACCACTGCAGTCTACAGATCATAATATTACCACCCCACTACAATCCTTCAGATGTGCAGTGGCCGGAAAGGCAGCTAGGATGAAGTTTCGCCGCCTGGCTTTTGTCAGTGGCTAATTCGCTTTGGAAAAAGCAGCGTTGTGTCTAAAAGATGATAATTAGCTTGATGAGTTTCCTTGATAATGCTGTTTAACCCGCGAGTTGCTGGGGGCGTTAAACGCCCCCACTTTTTTCGCCTGGCCATAGCATAAAAACGGCGCTCCGCAGGCGCGCCAAAATTTGATTACCTGTAGGGAATTGATTGAAGTTTATTGTGACAAAGTTTCAAAAAATTCGGTCAGAAAATTGTTGAGATATCGAGGTTTTAGTGACGTCATGATTTCTGAGTTTTCGACCAAAAACGGCATATGTTCAAAAAATCATATAAAATCACAGAATAGACATACAGACATGCCGTAAACGCCATTAAACTGCCAATACCATGAACAATCAAATGGCTATCTTCGATTATTGATTATCGTTCCGCATTTTCCAAAATCTTGAACTGAATCTTGCCAATTTCTCGCGACTACTTGACGACCATGATACATGAATTGCTTAAATTGAACTTTTTGAGCCAAACACGTACACATATGATAAAATGAATGTCAACATCGTGTTCTACGCCCCAAATTACCCATAAAACATGTGTCACAGGCTGCGAATATCAGTTTTGATTTTCGGGGATATGTGCCTACCCGGTTGACCTGACCTTGACCCTGACCTATGCTTGACTGACCCCTACATGGAGCTGACACTCTTGTAGGCCTTATATGATGGATTGTGCACCGTTTTGACAGCGTTTATGACGAGAGGCGCCCATTGCGAAGTCCTGAAGTCAATGCTACTGAAAGCCCGATTTCAGGTGTTTGACCTGACCTTGACCCGACCTGTGACCTCAAAATTCAACTTTAAAGTACTCATCTGTAGCGTCTTGTCGCGTTCTTTCGTTTGCCGCCTCGTGCGTTTCGCTGCGCCTATTGGTTCTCGAGTTATCGGCTGGGGGCGTTTAACGCCCCCCCCCCCCAGCAAACGGTGGGTGGCGAAATACCCCAGCAACTGCCGGGTTAAAGGTAGACTGCCACCTTTTTTTCACAAAACGGTTTTCACTAGAGCTGAGCCACCTATGTCCCAGACTGAAGTCGGTTTTCCGAAATTCGAACCCGTTTGCGAGAAATCGGAGACCAAAGTTCAGTTTGATGCCATTTTTTTAGTTCAAGAAAACCGGCATCTCTACGTTTATCGATAACTTTGAAACATTAGTTTTCTTATCTTTTGGCAAAAATATGTCGAAACTTTGATTGTTTCGAGATCAGAGAAGAATTTTGGAGTGTCAAAATAAAATTTAAACTAATATATTCAGTAGTTCATTTTTTCCAAAAAAGTGTGGGAAATGGGGTTTAACATGGGCCAGACCCATTCCAAATGAGCCATGATTTTTAAATGTTTTACGAAGTTAAATGCAAAATAAATTAAACATGGCCAGTTTCTTTGAAAATCATATATTAATTATCAACATACAACCTTACTTTTCAAATAAAATGCAATAATATGACAAAGGAATCATGTCTAAGGCGACTGGATTTTTTTACCATGTTCAAAAAAACCTTCATGCATTCATGGTCGGGAATGGTATACGATGGATTAGCTATTTTTTCTCATGTTCTTGTGTAATGATATTGTCCAAAATGGTATCCAAAGATTATTTCAGAGGGTAAAAACAAACTATGAAGTCCTATATCCCGTATGTCGGTTTTTAAAAAAAGTGTGGGAAATGGGCTTCAGCATTGTGAGACGTTTGAAGTTTTTCTTTCATATGGTGGCTTTTGAACCTGACCTCGATCGGAAGAAACTGAAACACATTTTGGCCGGCAAGAATTTGAAGTGAGGCGACGCGAAATATGAGTTCTGTTTTTCCGTACGAAGGCATAGGTAAGAAAAATATGGGAATATGTATTTTTCCTTTCAGAAAGTCTTGCAGAAATAGGTACTGCTTATGAATTAGATATTGATATGGATGTCGGGTCATGGTGGTATTGGTCTTGTTTTTCAGCAAATCGAAATGTCCCATGCGGATGGTTTGCTATGGACATTGTAAATGATAATTTTTTCTTAGCTAGCTCTTTGACATGGGTGTAGGAGCAGACAAAATATGGGTGGAGGATGGGCTCATGTTATTGTCATCGTCAAATAGTCAGCCATAACTTTGCTGGGTCAACATGATTCTTACATTGGAAAGCCCGGACTAGATAAAATAAATGCTCTGCTGAATATGACGCAGCATAGTAGTGGGATTGCACCTGAAAATTCATTGCACATCTGGCGATCTGGCATAACATCCTCTCTAGAGCCGTCCGCAGGGGAAATCTGCTGCTAAATTGACCAGACTACCGACTAAATTTGGCAACAGGGCTTTCGCTAAAATAAAAAATCTGCAGCCGCCCTGCGCCGTAAATTTCAGGTGCCAACATGAAGTCTTGAAGTCTTGAAGTCTTGTATATGCGGAAGAAGGCGTACTGCCTGTAACTTCCATTACTCCTTACTGATTGAGTGGGTATATGGCAGATCTGGGTGAGGATGATCGTGGGATAATTCAAGGTTATAATGCTTTGTCATCCAGTTCCTCGATTCGGTGGCTTTTACTCCAATTTAAGCCTCTCACTCTTCAAAAACTCGTCCACTCTTCTTTTAAACAGCAAAGTTGATTTTGACCTCACAATTTTCTCTGGAAGGCTATTCCATAAGTTACATGCCCGATGTGTGAGGAAAGACCTTCGTACTCGTTTCTTTACACTAACTTTTGCGATCCGTAGCGTGTGTCCTCTTGTATGTCTTGCTTCTGGTTTAAATTGCAACATATCAGCTTCCGTCTTGAGTTTCCCAGTAATAAGTTTATACAATGTTATTAGGTCACCGCGCGTTCTTCTGTACTTGAGTGTAGGTAAGTTCAGTTCTGTCAGCCTTTCTTGGTATGGGACATTGCTCAAACCTGGGACCATTTTTGTGAATCGTCAACATGCGCTGAATTCGGCGCATGTGAAGTTACGCCTGACATGCGCTGAAAGTTTTGGCGCAATCATGCCACTATGCAGGACATATTCAGCATAACGTGAATTTTTCCAGTCTGGAGCCAAATAGTAATGTCAGCACTGAGAAATTAGGATGTTGTCAACATAACCTTCAACATATTTGTCAATTTTAGTTACAATTTATCACTAATGGGTACCTATTGTTATCATTTGGTAGGTACCTACATTGCATCCTAGCTTGTCATCATAGCAAACATGCAGATATCTAAAGAAATGTTTGTTGGTCCTTCTAAGCTGTTGAAATTTCTCCACAGTCAACACAATGCAGTATGCTGGGAGCACAAAACGAAGGCATCCGTGGAAGGAACAGCAATGCTGGGAGCAGGCTGTTCGCAGAAAGTGATCAGTAAGTTACCTGTGCATACTGCTGTTTTTTTATACAGGGAGGGGGTTAGAGTTTAAACCTGTCTCAGCAAGATTATTGCATGAAAATTAAATGATATTTGAATGCTGATAATTATAGATACTAGAAAGAGTAATCATAAAGCAGGCATTGCACTTCCCTGCAAACAGCTGAATGAGCTGAAGGCGGGCATTGTATGAAGACAGATGAAAATAACGAACATAATCTAACCAGGCCTGACCTTACCTACTAACCGACAACCTACCAGCCTACAGCCTAAATACCTACAAGCTACCAGCTTACCACCAGTCACAATGCCTTCAGCTGTTCAGGGAAGAGCAACGTCTGCTTTACGACTAGGTACTGATAGGCGGGTAACGAAACTGATTGGTTCCAGCCAGGAGTAATTTTCCTTCTAAAGAAAACAAAGTGTTGATTATATGGGTACCCGTCAAAATTCGTGGAGATTTGGGTCGATATTTGTCCCACAACTGATTTCCTAGAAATCATTACCTTTTCATAAACCATGCACCCTAGGCTGTTCACAGTTGAAATTATTCAAAAAATGTCATTGCGCATGCGCGTAAAATGGTCCGTGACCCAGAAAACAAAAAATTCTCCTGGGTCACGCATTATCAAACCAGATACGTTCACTCACCTCATGCGCTATATAACCCCCTTATCGGCAATGACCTTCTCCACACGTAGGCGGAAAGACTTGCATGTCTTGATGATGTAGGTGGGCAGAATTTCTCTTCTGGGTCACGATTTTTTTCCTGGGTCACGCCAAAATTCGTGACCCAGAAGAAAAAAATGCGTGACCCAGGGGAATGGTTTTTATAGTTTTCCGAATATGGCAAGTTTGTTATCGAATACTAATCTCCAAGTACATCTTATCTGGAGTACCTGAGCACGCAGCAACACGACACTATGATTCTTTTCGACACTTACCAGCCACAAGCCACAAGGGCGTGTGACCCAGAATAAAGAAATCTTATTGCACGCAGGAGATGATTTCCCCTGGGTTCGCCCAGCCCAACTGACAGTTTTCAGTTTCCGCCCCCGCTCTCTGCGCCTTCGCGGGATAGGACCATATGCAAGTCTGCAGACCCTGCTTACCCGGTCCGTAATGCTTTGAATGAGGAGCTAAGTACCGTGACCCAGAAAAAAACGTGACCCAGAAAAAAGTTTGCCAAAAACCGTGGGACAGACGTTTTTGCGTTGTGCAGTATTGCTAAATTGTATAACCAAAAAAATAAGAACCATGAAGAGAAATTTCAATGTTTTTGCTATTCACAACGCTCCCTCACGCTCAATTATCTCTAAAAATAACTACACAGCAACTCTGTAGATTTTTTTCGCAGGTTGTGGGACAAGCTAAAATACATAGGCACACAAAAGCATGGTTTTGGAAAGATGTCCAAATTTTTTTTTGCCACTTTGCTGTTGCCTTTTCAATGATTTTTTTCTTCAATCAAATGTCCAAATCTCGCGTACGGACCCGTATTACGCTGAAATAAGCTCATTTATTGACGTGAGGCATTATTGAAATCGTGGGACAGCATATCTCCACGAATTTTGACGGACACCCATATAACAGACTACAGAAAAATATAGTCTGCTCCATACCAAGCTTATGGTCTAAGTTGCTTCGCCAAGTTGCTTCTTGGTTCAATAATGTGTCTCTTAACCCTCGCCCTGGCAGGGGGGGGGGGGGGTTGATGCACCCCCCCTAAGGTTTTTCGAAGATAGCGTAAAAACGGCGGCGCAAAGTTGGCACAGCCTATGGGGCAACCCTTTTACATATGACCTGAAAATTTCAAGTCCGGGTGACCTTGGTCAGGTCACCAGGTCAGAAAAACCGGTACAAGGTCATGGTCAAGTTTCAATTTTCTTTTTGCACCTGTCCAACTCACTGTTTTGGACTGATTTCCTTCAAACTTTCAGGATGTGCTAAGTTCACCGAGTTGTATAACATATAGTTCGGGTTTTTGAGGTCACTGACCTGAGGTCAGTTAGAGGTCATAACGTCGTAATGTTAAGCCTATGGGAAAATACTAAATTCGGAAAATACTGGAGATATCCGCTTCGTTCCATCACTTTTGTGCTTTGAAACCATAGTAGTTACCAGCAGGTCACTTGGTGCTTCTTTGTTTGGTGTACTTATCCATTGGTCAGGTCAAATGAGGTCAACTGAGGTCAAATGACGTTTTTGCCAATAACTTGGCACATAATGACGCTAGAGCTTAAAAATGGTATCATTGTGTTCCTGGTGATCAGCCGAATCGAATGATATGCGATATGATGCAATTTGGGTAACTTGAACTTAATTAGTTAATTAAAGTTTACTTAAAAATTAAGAAAAACTTTAAGTACACTTCAGCAAACAACAAGGTATATCATTCGACGCGCCTTGACGTGCTGATTTCACTGGTGCTTTTCTTTTTTTTTCTATCTTAATTGGATCAAAAGTTATAAGCGAAAAACTTTTGACCTGTTTTTAGCAAAAATTTTACATTTATATCCCCCAAAACACCTCCAAATATTGACCTAGAGCAACCAAATTTGCATAGGGGCGAGAACTCCAGGGGTCCCACCTACCTACCAAATTTGGTGTTTCTAGGTGCCATAGGAGCCAATCGCGAGGGGGGTCGCATCAACCCCCCCCCTGCCAGGCCGTGTTATGAAAAATGCCCTGCCAGGGCGAGGGTTAATGTAGGAGCTATGCACACATAAAGCATGTGTTGTTTACAGCATGGTACTTCGGCTGCTAGCTTGAAATGGAACAGACTTTAGTCTTATCTGCGTATGGTAGCTCGAGCAGAGGTATTACATCTGCTTACGTGTCCCGTAGCAGCATTTTACACCTTGTCCTGCTCTCCCACAGAGCGCGCAAGCCACCAGCCAGCTGACGCAGAGCCCAGAGGGCGTTCGCCACCAACATCCGCACGGCGCAGCTGCAGAGATGATTTCTGCCATGGAGCAGCATCCGCGGCTCCATAACATCATCCTTCCATCATTCTCCATCATCATTCCCGGAGCTCACCCGGCGGCGGAGCCGGCGACGCCCGCGCCCCGCCTGGCCGTCCAGCCTGCGCGCTCCGCCGCGCGCCGCGGGCCCGGCTCGCCGGGACGTCCGGCAACCGGGCTTAAAAGTTCGGCGTTTGAGGCGCGGCGGGGGGCACCGTCTCTGTGCCCTGCTCCGGGTCCCCGCCGCCTGCGGTCTCTTCTGCTGCCGCCACTGAGGGGAGCGGCTCTTCTTTGAAGACGGCATCGGTCGACGGTGATGCTGGCGGGCCGGTGGCGCGTGCCCCGTCGGCAGCGCGCCTCGGGAGGACGCTGGTGACGACGAATCTTCATCGCCGTCGGCACCGGTCGCGAGCGAGTCGCTGTTTAGTTGGCCTGCTACAGACTTTGCTGTGCCAAAAAGTGCGACTGTGGCCAGACTGGTATACGATTTGTCAGTGCTTACGCCCCTCTTGCCGCGCCGGCCGTGCTCTTTGCCGTCTATTGAGGATGCGTTAGAGTTATCGTTTTGGGGTTTTATACCGGTATCAAGATTGATTTAAAAGATGGATTTCATCACATTCCTCGCGCACGTTCCACACGTCCTTTTGGTGTTTTGTATGATGGTAAAACGTGCTTATACCTTTTCTCTGTTACCAATGGGCCCTATTAGGTACTGCATCTCCTGCATTATTAGGTAGAGATGCAGTACCATTATTAGGTACTGCATTATTAGGTACTGAAGGAGATGCAGTTAGGTACTGCATCTCCTTCGGAGATGCAGTACCTAACAGATGCTTTCAGTGAACTTGTAGAGTCGAGATTTAACGTCAGGTGTTTGGCGTATTTAGATGATTTTCTTTTTATGTCCAAGGACGCTGAATGGTATCGCTGCGTTTCTGACTAGTGTTGGGTTGTGTATTAATTTCAATAAATTAGTTCTCGTTCCGTCGCATGTTTTTACGTTTCTTGGTGTGTCGATTGACTTTGGGCGTGATTCTGCGCGTGTTCAGGATAATGCCTTGTCACTATTGCGGGATGGCCGTGGTCCAAGCACAGTCGCTGTGACAGACGGTTCGATGTGTCGACCAATCATGTTGCTTCGTTTTTGGCGCCTTGTATGTTGTCCGGTCTGTCAAGACTCAGCTGGCTCAGTCTCGACTCTGGCTCTGGCTGGCTCAGTCTCAGTCTCATCAGAGAGCGAAAGGAGCTGCGCGCGCGGCTGCAGCAATTCATCGGCGGCGGCGCTGTGAACGCTGTGTCGGCGGCGCGCGAACAGGAGCTGATCGCGCTAAACGAGGACCGCCAGCAGCTTGTCCATCTGCAGCAGCTGGTGTTGCAGCTGATGGGCGGCCAGCAGCCGGCGGCGGTCGCTACCCCCCCCCCCCCCCGCCGGTCCTGTGTGCGGGGACCGCCGCGCCCGGCAGTGATGGAGGGTACTATGGCGGTGTTACATTCCTAACTGTTGTCACATATCAACTGAGAACCGTCCGGAGGCAGTTACCGCCGGCCGGCACCTACTCACCGTGGCCGTATTTTTTTATATGGAGAGAGGAGAGAGAGGAGAAAGTTGTTCAGAGAATATCAGGTTGTTAGAGAATACAGTGTATATTTATTATTTGAATCGAGCGAGTCGCGTGTTCCACGAGCGGGACTTGGAGCAAAAAGCTGGCACTGAGATACAACGAACAGAACGTGGCGTCGAGCAGGAACGCCCCCGGCTATGTACACGGTGCTGCTGGGCGCGCGACCAACAAAACACGGGAATGCATCAACATCAAAGACACACGGTACATCAAAGCCCTCCGCGCCATCGCTGGGTCCGTCGGCACCGCTAGCGCTTCTACAAAACAAGCACGCACACAGAGACGCCATTTCCAAACGCACGCATACACAGAACAAAAACGCACACGCACGTCCATTCGTTTCACTCAGTCACCCATGAACGGCTTGGGTTTCCGGACGGTCACCAGCCGGCGGGGCCGCGCCGCGGCAATAGGCGTGAGTCTCCTCGTTGAGCTTGCTGAGCGCGCTGCCACCGGAGGCGGACGGGGCGCCGCCGGCCGCGCCGTCCTTCGCGTCGCTCACCTCCACCTCGACCCCACTGTCGGAGTCCTCGGCGGCGGCGCGCCGGCGCAGCTGCTCGCAGATCTCCTCTGTGACGAAGGTGGCGCACTTGGGGTCGCGCATCAGCGGCGTGAACTCGAGCTCTGGCCGGCCCTGGTGCAGGCGCCTGGCGCAGGTAGTGCTCCGTCAGCGGCCGCGGCTGCACCACGGCAGCGCGCGATGCTCGCACAGCTCGCACTCACGCTCCACGGGAGCCGGCGCCGACTCCGGTCGCCGCCGCTTCACCGGCGTCGAGCTGGCCTGAGACGAGCCCTTTGCCGCACTGCCCGAGCCCGTGTGAGGGATGATTGTGAATTGTGATCTCGTTGTTGATTTTGATGGGCTGTCCGGTGGCGGCCGCCGCCGCAGCTGCCTTCCTACGGCCAAACGACTCCATAATCTTCTTGGCGACGACAGAGTGAGAGCTGTAGACGTCATTCTCGAACTGTTTGTATACATATGCGAATGTGGCCGTACAGACGGTGCACTTGTAGGGAAAGGTGCACCGGGTTCAGCATCACAAGGTGGTCCTTAAAGACGTGGTGCAGGAGCTTCCACTGGTACACCTGACGCACACAGAGAAAACACGTCACCGGTAAATCCCAGTTTGAAGTGAAGGAAGATGTGCATGAAATCCTAGGACCAGACAACTCGCAGGAGGGAAGTCCACAAATGACGCAACATCACTAGGTACAACCTCGTATCGCACAGCAATCTAAAATCATTAACGGTACCTAATGGTCTCCCTAATAACCAGTGTACGTGTATCTCCAACCCGAGCCGCCTCCCCCTATAAGATCAAGACTTGTACCATGTGTCCTAAGTAATAAGTTCACCTGTATCAAGTTCACCTAGCACCACTTTTCTGAAGGAAAAGTGGTTCATGTTTTAGTGCCATCTTTCATTATAGAAAGACAATGATGTTGAATGTGTTTTCTGATGAACCACAAAGTGAAAATCAGTGATTTATTGGTGCATTGTATTTAAGAATTCCTTTTGAATTATCATGAGAAGAGTTGAATACCTCCTTTTGCACTCTTTAGAAAATGAAGAGACTCACAAAATTAAAACATGATTAGAAAGAACACATCCTTAGAAATGTTTTGTGTACTAACCATATTTTTTTTCACAAAACATTTATAACTTCCACCAAACCACACAATGAGTCAGGTGAGATTATCTTACATTAGGTAAGGTTAGGTAAGGTTAGATTAGGTTGTATTATTTCTGCTTGTAGTGTACCTGACTTTTCAAGGTAGGTACATGATAATTTTAATTGCAATAATCACCTTAAAGTATATATTGGCTAGCAACCTAGATAAAGGCTAGGCCACACATGGCAATTAAATAAATATTAACAATTGTTTCATACTTTCACATCACATCGTAAGAAACATTCAGTTATTTACCTTTGGGGCTCGGGCTGGGCGGTGGGTGAAAAGTTGAGAATTCTTCTTGCCCCTCGACCACCTCCTCTCCTCACACGTCCTCGTCCTCTCCCTCGCTCACCAGGCATCTTCACCTGGAAGGTAGGCATACAGAAATGGGCCAGTCTGCAAAACGTGGCAGGTCTTGACAATATGTTGTCGGGGCACACACCACAGGTTGTGGCAGGTTTGAGGAATTTTGGGGCAGAAGCAAGGAAATCTGGGGCAGAAGTTGAAAGCTTGTCACAGCATTGATTCGTTTCGCTTCTCATACTTATTAAATGATGCACTTCATCATTATATCATTTTCATCATATTCATGAGGGGCCCTCATGAAAGGAATTGGTTTGCCCAGGTCTCGGCATTCCGCTTGGGGCAATGTTTTGCCTGTCCCAAACATCTTGTCACGGATTGAGCTCCCTGCCACACTTTGAAGACTGGGAAATTGGTGCTGGAATGGAAACACTATCAGATTCATGACAATTTTTCCAATACCATAGGTATTTGTTATTCAAATAGCCTTTGTCTCAACTTAGTCTATCACTATTCATATAAACCTGGAAATAGTCTAGCTTTTAATATCACATGCCAAAATACATGTATATATATACCTATCAGATGAATCAGAATTGGAATATATCAGATAGATAACATAACTCATTAAAACAGGCAATTCCAAAAGCGTAAACAGGACGTACATACATAACCAAAGCAAGGATCATTGTATATTTCAATTGTAACATGCGCGCCGTTTATGGCGACAAAACCCGCTTCCATATCTTATGACCTTGAAGTCTAGTGATGTGTCAACATTGTCGCTAGACATTAACCGATTGATAATTTATGATAATTGATAATTTTTTTACGCGATTCACGTGATGATAGCTTGCCAGGTGAATTCTAAAATTTCGTTTTATCCAGGGAAAAAATCATGGGCCGATCTGAGAAAACTTTTTGAAGGTGGCAGTCTTCCTTTAAAGGCTAGTGTAATAGGGATAACGTAATTGTCCAAATGCCGAAAGCCTTGTTTGCATGATGGATGCATCAATAAAATCATCGTTGTTTAGACTGGCATTTGCTTCATCCATTTTCTTTTTTACTACACTCGACGCAAATGCAGTTTCTATCCCTATGCTGCTTACCCATGTCACTGACTTCACTTTGCAGCCACAGAAGTTACCGATTTTGCCCTATTTAGGATCGCTCTGTAGCGAATATTCATTTCACAATATCCATAAATTCATCATCCGATGCAGTGGCCGCTGTTGCTGTAATCATCCTATGCTCATCCCTCCCCTAACCCTCCTGAGGACAGCAACCCTTCCCCCTCCCACTACACCCCTGTCCCCCGTGGGTGCACGTGAGAAAGGGTGCAGAGGGCACTTGAACGCCCTATTACATAGCGGGGGCTGAATGAAGCGCTGATTGCCTCATGATTATTGACGGGCGCTTAGACGCGACACAAGTTAGGCTGTTGAATCACAGCAATATTCAGACTGTGCTTTTCTTATCGCAGAACATAGACATCTGTAGTCCATGAAGGCGT